TGACAAAGAGAAAGGCTGAATAGAAGGCTGCAGACTTCTTGGACAGCCAATGGCTTAAAGGTTGTTGTAATATTCCTGCAGATAGTGGAACTTAATTTTAGATGTGAACATCAGAACTGCTCCCTCTGTATGATTAGCTTAATTTTTCACAGGTGTGCTCACCTGATTTGTTCCAGCTGAAGTCTATAAGGCATTAAAAGCTGAATGCTGATTGGTTGTTGAGTTTGGAAGGAAAACACACCTACACAGACAAGGTTTTTAATTTATGCCTTTACTTCGGACCTACAGTAAATATCCATTTATGTGTGGCAAAAATGTTTATAGACATGGAAAATCAGACTCAAATCGCCAAACAAAATTAGTATCAAGATTATTGAAACAAATAAAACAACGTATATGGGGAGGGGAAGAAAAACAAAACAAAAACAGTTTTCCATATCTCAGAGGTGGCAGAACAGCTCAGACAGGCGCAACATTCTATCATAAGACATTTTCCTCCCCATCAGTGATCAGGGAAATACTCTCATTTTTTCAGCTTTCCATCCTCTTTGAGTTTCCACAGCATAAGCTCCATGCAGGCAGCTGCATCTTCTGCTGTGTCGTGGCCGCAAACTGGGAGAAACAATGATTCACGGATTTAACACAGACAACGAGGCAGAAAACATCTGCACCAGAGTTTGTCATTTTGATTTCTCATCTGATTTTGTGATTCGTCTTTATTCATATTTGAAGGGGATTGTAATCATTTGACTTTACAACAAAAGAACAGCACATGGTGGTAACCCACCACTCTCCTGGATGATCCTCCTGAGGTATTCGGCCGTGAGGTTGTTAAGGCTCAGCTTATGAGGTAGGCCAAGACGATGGGGAAAGACCACCGATGTATCCACCACCAGCCCATGAAGCAACTACAGTAAAGACAGACATCACTGGAACCCTTTACTTCAATAAATAACAAAAATTACTTATTGGTTGGATACAAATAGTTGGTTTGGTTGACCTGATTTCTGTGGAGCACCAAAACAACTTCCATTACATTCTATGGGAGACTGCCACCAGATAAGTATTTATTTCCTCTTATGGGCAGTCATGCCAATCTTCACCTTTAGGTTAAATTTAAGTCAGCCATCATTTGATAGACATTTAATTTCCCATCATCAGGAATCAAAATACTAATGTTTTCAAAAGTCTTGCTTTCACCTAACTTTTCACCTACTACAAATACAGAATTAGTTTGTCTCTAATGGAAATTTTCAAATCCTTTTAACTTAAGGCCTCATCTAGAAAAAAGTGAAACATTTATTCATAGGGAATGGAAATAGCCGTTACTCAGATGAAATGCCTCTGAAATAACAAATGGTGCTCAAAAATAAGCGTACACAATGATGAGATGTGACCACGTTCTGTTATTAACGGTCCGATTTAAAATATCTTGGGCTGGTGTGGAACCTGCTAAAGCAAAAATATTAAAAAACTTGTAGAGGTCACCTTAAGCAAACAGAGATCCATTTCCAGGCCATGTCCAACGAGAATAGTGTTGGAACTGATGAAGCTCAACAATGTCCTCTGGACCTCTCTGAGGGAGGTGTGGTTACCTTTCACGTCCTCCTCACTGATGCCTGAAAACCTACAAAAGTCCAACACATGCCACCAGTAAAGAGGGGGAAGCGTTTCCTTAGAGGAAGGATGAAAAAAAGAGCAAACACAGCATTACCTGGAGTTATAGTCGATGACCTCATTATCAGGTTTGACAAAAGTGTCGTAAATGACTTCAAGTTTTGAGCTGACCACCGTCACTCTGGACAGCTCCAAACCATGTATGGTATAACACTATGAAAACATTCACACAACATTGTTTTTCCTTGCTTACATGATTTTTTTAAAAGTTGTGCTAATTTAAAAAGCCCTAATGAGCATAAATTACTTAATCATGTGTACATTTATACAAAGCAAAAAAGGAGAGTTACACACATAAAAAGTCTTGTGAAGCTACGTTTAAAAATCAAAAACCCACTTCTAAAACTGCCATTTAAATGTAAAATAAGAATTAAATAAAATCACCATTTCACACGCAAGGGAATAAACACCAGCACAGCTTTTGTCTGAAGGACGTCTGGGGGCAGTAGACACGAACCCATCCAAACTGAGTGAATCGTGGACATGCAACTGGTCAGGAACAGAAAAATTTACAAATTTGGCTCCTTTAGAAATAGCTTTGGATATTTATTGAATTGCCAGTGTTGTCCTTTACCTTGAACACATGGCATCCAGGTGCTCCCATGACACCCTGACAGCAGCTATAGCGGGTCTCCACCCCACCTGGCACTGCCAATTGCAGGAGATTGTCAATGTTTGACATTTGGGTTGATTTTTTACCACTGTGGTAGCCCAGTGCCAATGCAGAGCTTGAAATTAAATACTTATACCTGGCATAACAGTTTTTAGATGCAACAATTACCAGAATATTTCAAAGCCTAAATAGTTACTCCGTGGGGCAGTTGAGGAAAATAAACAGCTAGTTGAATACCTCTTTTCTCAACTCCTTTCCCATAATGGTAATTGCACTCCTCCTTACGGATATGCTTTCCCGTTTGGTTGACAGAATATGTAGCCCCGCAACGACAGCATATCCTCTTGAGTGCTTTTACCATCAAAGAAAGAAAAAAAGAAAGGAAAAAAGGTCATCACCACAGAGAAAATTGGGACAGTGACACTTTGCAAAAACTAAATAAATAAAAAGCAGTTGAATGTGCCCTCTAGTGAACAAACACAGGAACAGCAAAGTGACAGTAATACTTACGGTCTGCATTCACCTTCTTGTCTGCAAAAAGAACGGCACAAGCACGCTTCTCCGGATGCTGCACAGGATAGTTACTCTCAATTATTTTTTCATCAGATAAAACATAATCCTGCAAACATTTATACAAGACTGCATCATCTGTTGGAGAAAGAAAAAAAACAACAATTACAAGCTGCCCAGTCTTTGGAATCAATGAAAGACTTATTCCAAGGAAAGTACTCACTATTCCCTTTAATTTTTTCAGGGTTAAATGGAATATTTCCTCTTGATCTTTGACTGTTACCCTCTTTTTCATCTATCCAAGATAAATAATATGCACATAAAGTCAGCTGAATGCTTAATCAGGTTTTCTCAGTCATTTAGTGAGCATAATGATTTCCCACTTTTCGAGCAGTCCCTCACAGAATGTCTTACTCTTTGTTGCAGAAACGCTTTGATTCCTCAGCCTCTTGAGTGCATTCACTGCAACGCTCAGATATTTCAGTTTGTTCACACTGCGGTTGTATACAGTCTTCTCCTCAGCCAGGGCCTGTCAACAACATCAGGGAGAAGAGTTCATATCCAAACAGAGGTTTGTCACAACAGGGATCATTTAGAGACACATAGTATGTTTACCTTCTCAAAGGCATCATTCACATTAGCTGAGGTTTTCAGAAACTCCTCTGTAAACATGTTGACATAACGCTGACGCACATCATGGGAAACTTTGTCTTTTGCTGCCTCGGTCTGCTGCTTCAGTTTACGTTTCACAGGCATTGACTAAGGAACACCACTGTTAATATATAGGATCAAACATTTCTAACCAGCACAAGATGTGGGCATAGTTTAAACATTTCTGTTCTACCTTAGCAGGTGCCTGGGCCGGAGCCTGGGGAATAGTGGGGGGCATCGTATGTAAAGATGTGGAAGCAAAAGCAGAGCTCAGAGCCGGCCTCCGGGCCGGGGCAGTAATCAGCACTGGTGCTGTTGAGCGGTATCTTGGCAGCGGCGTTACTGTGGGTGGATGGTGAGTCTGCCTGACTGGAACAGGGCTTGGATGCACTTGACTTACTGGAGTTAACACCGAGGCAGCTGTGGAGGTGACAGGGAAGCTGCCATGGGGGAGGATCAAGTGCAAGCTGTTACCCACTTCTATAACTGCGGTCCCCACAGGAATGTGGTTTAAATAAGCTGTTGAAAAGAACAAAAAAAAACAATTCAAATGTACTCAGGAAAAGCTAAAATATCTAGGTCAAAGGAACAGATTACATTTTCATAATTTTTTTACATTCGGATAATACTAAGAAGAACTTAATAGCAACTTTACAAAAAAAGCAACCATAACAATAGCATCCATGGCTACTTACCATTTTGGCCTGGAGCAGGGGTTTGAGCAAAAGCAGAGGGTGCAGCCTGTGTGTCTGGTCCTTTTTGAGAAGTGGAAGACACAAAAGCCTGACTAGCTTTAACTGAAGCTGTCAGCATGGAGGCTCTCTGTTGGATCTTAGATGAGATGGTGGGCCTTGACCCAAGTCCTGAAGCTGCTGGTTGCCGGAGAGGAATTAAAATTTGTGGCTGGGGTTGTCTTTTAGCCAATGGCTGCTGGTGAATTGAGAACGGCAAAAAACACAAAACAGCATTAGGTTAAGTATATATATATATATATATATATATAAATAAATAAATAAATGTTGTTATCAGATATGGGCATCATATACCTCCACGTGTTTCCCTTCATGGGCCACCCTCTTCTTTCCAGGTAAAGCTTGTGGTGTCACAATTGCCTCGGACTTGGGGACAGCAGTAGAAGATCCTGCCTGAAACAGTGGAAGTGAGTCTTCCATCTGATGAAGAGATGAAAGCTGAGGCCTACTTACAGACACATCCGAGGGCTCTTCATGTCCCTTATTCTCATTGTTTGACTCCATGAAGATCCTGTAGCATTCCTCCATTGGGTCACTATCAGACAGCTCCATTTCTGAGTAGTTAAGCTCATCTTCCTCATCAGTGCTCGAGTCGATTATTATAACTGGATCATTGTCGTCCTTATGGAGCTGCTCAATGAAGTCAGATGGTTCATAGGGGCTTATAGATGATGAAACGTTGTCTGAAACCTGGAATCTGTCCGGAGGTGCCTCAGCATGCTCCAGAGTTACCACTGGGTTGACGATAGGTTTCTCCTGCTTCTGTCCTGCATTTCCTTTTGCCATCTTCCGCCCGTTTTGCTCAGGGGACTGCACACCTGTAACGGTGGGCCAGAGGCTATGGGCTCTGCTCCGAGTGTCAGGCTCCGCTGTCAGAGCCTGCTTACTTTTCTCAACACTACTAGACGGCTCGCACCAAGCTGAAGTGGAAGAAACATTTCCAGGTTGCGGGATTTTCTCTGCTTCACTGAACTGGTAAGCAGTTTTTTCACAGGCCTTTTTAAGATCTTCTAGATATCCAGTTAAGCCAGCCATGCTGTCATCAAGAGCCCCACTTTCATCTAGTTTGTCATTACCACAAGTGGCTAGATATTGATCACCTTCAACTCTAACATACTCATAAACAGCATCTGCATCATCCTTCAGATCAGATGAAGAAGTCACATTGAGCATAACAGTGTTTTTAGACCGGTGCATTTTGACCCCCCCTGCTGTTTCCTGTGGGGATTTCCTTGTCGCTGAATCAAGACGTTTTTGTGACTGAGTGCTTGTTTTTTTAGGAGATGCAGCAACAATAATCAGGTCGCCATCTTCAGTGGAGTCATCAAGTAGCACTGGAGATGGTGACCGGGAAATCGGGGCAAGATAGGCGTCTGGCTCCTTTTTATGAACATGCACAGGTTTTTCGTCTGGGTTTTTCCCTTTCTGCTCCTTGCTCGACGATTTGTAAGAGCGCAAAGCAGCAGAAAAGTTGGACATGGGGTCGTACTCTAAATCAGTCCTTGGCTTTGAGTTGTCTACCACATACTTCCTTGTTTCCTTTTGGGGTTTGTGTTCTTTGTAAGAGGATATTCCAAGGGAATCACCGGTCCCCTTATTTGACGCAGCTGCTCTGTTCCCGCTGTCTGCCTGTACGGTCCGGTAGCAAGACAGCCGCCTTTGCTCCTGCTCTACCTCGTGTCGTACAGTTTCAATCTCTTTGTTGATCCGCTCTATCTCATGGAGGCAGTCGTCTGTTGTCTCGTCAATCACTGGTCCTCCACAGGCATCGTATTGGTCGTCATACTGATCCCCTATTCACAATAAGTATGATACAAATCTTAGTAATATTGAAGAGTTTGTTTAGGCTATTTTTAAAACAGGAATATGGCATGCTCAGTACTTTAATATACTGGGTTATATATTACATACAATCCACTGGATTAGAATCACAAACATTTTATATTTATTTTACACCTTTAATCCAAACAGTCATCTACTCCACAAAACATTCCAAAGGTCTAAAAACAAATTTCAGTCAAATCAAACTGCCTTGTGAAAATATTTTAAAATTCAAATTAGATAAAACAGCAAAGGTGCAAATTGCAGTGCCTCATACAGGGATTAGTTGCTTACTCAGTTAACTTCAGGTTAGAATTTGAATTTTCAATGTCGCCAAAAGGATTGCTTCTCATCAGGAAGTAGTACCAAAAAAACAGATGCATCTGTTCCTGATTCCCTTTAGATCAGTGTGGATAAGTTTGTGTACCGAACAGTTCTGCATTTCTGCTTCATTTGAAATTAGAATTACATTTTTAAGCACATCTCCCATCCCAAACATGCTCTAAAGGGCCAGGGGGCAACAGTTGAGGACAGTCTGAACCCTTCTGTTCAATTTTGTGAACGGACCAAACAAACAAAAAAACATTTAAAAGGAGAATATATCTAGAATATATCTGACTTGCTCACACACGTTCAACACAATCATACATCCTCCTACTCCCGTATTATTAATACTTTTGTAGAGATACTGAATCTGCTAAATAGTAGGCCCACAGCCTATACTACTAACCCTTTACTACCATAAGTAGCATAACCTATACTTGTATAGTCTGCGTTCTGCTATGTGCATAATACAGTTTTTTCCAATAGTTGCTTTCACAAAATATGTTTGCAATTAACTTCTGCTATTTCTTTGTAAATTACATGCATTGGTGACCAAATATTTACTCTGTATGCACTACCAATACGAATAAAACCAGTCTGAAAACCAGTATATTTACATTAACACAAGCTGTAAAGAATATCCGTTATTATAACATCTTAAAAATTAAACTGTTTTGGAGGACAGGTGATTCCTTAAGAAAAGACGACTTGAATTCATCTTCGACTAAGCAAGGCCTCAAAGGTTATTTCACTAGTGTTAATCCAAGTAATTTAACAAATCTCTCCTTAAAGTTAGCGTAACTTACACTGACCTGTTAAGTCCACAACCGATGGTTTATATAAATCACCGAACGTATCCAACGATTCTGTGGCATGTCTGTATAAACAGTAAGGCCGCTCACAAAGTTCTCGTTGAGCAAAAGGACAATTTATGTCAGCAAAAAGACCAGACGAAGAAAACATTGTCAAAATTGTACTTTACGTAGTGTTTAGATGGTTTGTTAATTAATCACTGACTCCTGCCAGGTGAGGGCTCCAACTGCTCTCAATAGGTCAGTCACTTATATAGGTTCTGATCAGGTCGCGAGACAACCGTTAAAAGGCTAATTATTCAAAATGGCATTGAACGAAATGTTTTTTTTTTAAATAATTTTTCCTTTAAATTAAAATTTAACAGGGCAAACATTTTCAATAGAGTTTTATTTGATTTGTTATAGTAAATGTTGTTAATATTTTTCACCCTGGCTGGTGTAACTCCTCCATGTCGACAGAGGGCAGTGCTGCGCCGTAAGGTACTTGTGATTTCTAAAGATCGAAATAATAAACATGAGTGGATGTGTCGCGCGCATTATAATATAGACATCCTGTAAAGTTTTTCTTTCTAAATGAATAACAGCGATGATGAGATGGAAGAAGATGACACTGAATGGAGCAAAAGTTTTGTGGATTCTGAAGCTTTCGCCCCCTCCGCCCCTTTATCCGGTAAATTATGAACTCTCAAGCTAGCGAGCCAAACTTAAATACAATTGACAGCCTATCAGTGTCATGTGAGTTTGACATACAAACCTGTTTTTTGTTGTCGTGGAATATATCATTCAGGTTCAAGCATGAATATGACACCACGACCTACACGAAAAGTCATTCTGCATTTTGACCTGGACTGCTTCTATGCTCAAGTGGAAATGATCAGAAACCCAGCCCTGAGGCTCGTGCCTTTAGGTAATAAGGGGAGTGGGGGATTGGGCAAAACAAACATTTACTGTACTGCTTCTTTCAACCAGATTGTCTTTTTATATAATCAGGTATTCAGCAGAAATACATCGTAGTCACCTGCAACTACGTTGCAAGGGAAAGGGGTGTCAACAAGCTGATGTCCATCACTGACGCTAAGGAGAAATGCCCAGATCTTGTGCTGGTCAAAGGGGAAGACCTGACACACTACAGAGAGATGTCCTACAAAGTGACAGGTTGGCAAGAATCTAGAGAAGCATACCTTACAACTTGCTCTAAAAAACAGATGTCCATTTGTTGTCAGATGGGGGAATTTTCTTCATGTCCTGGCTACGTTAAAGTAAAGAATATGAACACAATATATCAGGCTTTGATGTTGAGATTGGGAAATATGGCTTTAGTTTTTATTAATTTGTTTTAAGATTTTTTTTCAGTTTTGTTTCTGTGCTTACCTTGCTGCCACGCCTCCTCTGCACCCCGCAGGGCTGCTGATGTCCTACTGTCCGCTGGTAGAGAGGCTTGGATTTGATGAAAATTTCTTAGACGTCACAGAGATGGTGGAAAGGAGGCTTGACCAGACTGTGGACCCTGACAGCTTCTCATTTAAGGGCCACGTCTACAATCATTTCGGTAAGTTAAATTTACTGCCCCCCGGCCCGTGCTTGCACATCTGGATCATGGAAACTGAAAAACGACCTGTAAAGAATGCAAGCACCAGTCAGATATTTGCATGGCACTCTCAGTTTCAGACTAAAAATTGACCTTTAAGATCCTCTTTCTCTCTTGGTTTTCACACCCACATGTTCCTGCACAGGTGCAGATGTGAGGGCCTGCGACCACCCGAGGCTGGCTTTGGCGTCACACATTGCCGCAGAGCTGAGGGAAGCCATCCACAGCGAGCTGGGCCTGACCGGCTGTGCTGGTGTTGCTACAAACAAGCTGCTTGCCAAACTGGTCTCAGGCACCTTCAAACCCAATCAGCAAACTGTTCTGCTGCCCGAAAATGTGAATGACATTATGGGAAGCCTGAGTGGACTCCGAAAAGTACCAGGTACACAGTGCTCAGAGGAACGTTAGATGTTTAGATCTAGTGTATTTAGTATCATTATAACACTGGCTTGGTAAAGGAGCTCACTGGTGTGCTTATGAACCTCGACCCCCATATCAGATAACCCCTTTGTGCTTCTCTGATCTGTTCTCAGGGGTGGGTCACCAAACGGCAAAGAAACTTCAAGCTCTGGGATTAGTCAGCGTGAAAGACCTACAGCTGTGCCCTCTGAATGACTTGGTTAGAGAGTTTGGAGGTCCCACCTCTCAACGTTTGAAGAATTTGGCTCTCGGTATTGATGACTCTCCCGTTACCCCCACTGGGGCCCCTCAGGTTGGCTTTGAAATGGCTGCCCGATGCATATACTTATGTACTGAGGAACCTTTTTTGTCTGTTTTTGCATTTACCATAGTTAATACCACTGTCAGGAAGTTCTATATGTGTACATTTATTACTTGTATCTATAGGAGAATCATAGCATTGATATACATTATATCAAATTATAACAAAAGTATGGGAACCAACTTTGGAAAATCTTTTTCTAGAGAGATTCTAGCAAAGAAAAAAATTCATTTATAATTGCACGAATTTGAAATGGCTCTAAATACACTTGTGGAGGTCTAATGATATTCAGTTAGTATCGATAATTCACCACTAAAAGTTCAGTCCCTTTTTGCTGAAAAATACTCAGAGCTCAGACATTTTGTTTCATTTGCAGTGGAAATGCAAAGTGTGGTGAGTTTTAAAACTCTGTGCTTTCGTAGTGTGTATTTTTCACTTTAAAATTCTGTTTGGTGAAATGTTCCACTGGTGTTTCTGTGGCTTTCATAAAGTTTCTCGTGGTTGAATCAAACCGTTCTTGAAGCTGACTTGGGCAATGATTGTTTAGGTGAAATGTCTAAGATCAAAAACATGCTTTGGAAACCTGAAGTAAGCAGAGATGATAGATGCATCATAATGGCTCCAGAGGTCATTATATGTACGTTTGTAGTAATGGATCCTGTGGTCTTTTATTGTCTTCCTGTGAGACTATCCTAGTAGGAAAAAAGAAAAAGAAAACTTTCTTTAATTGATGGTTTGTTTGCTGTGAAAATTCCAGTATTTCTTGTCTGCATCAGTATCCTCTTACCGTTTCAGTCTCTCAGTGATGAGGACTCCTTCAAAAAAATGTCCTCAACCACAGAGGTTTTGGAAAAGATTCGGGAACTCTTGACCAGTCTGGGGGAAAGGATGCACAAAGATGGCCGGCTGCCCCAAACGTTCCGGCTGACCATCCGGAGGTACTCAGCCACCAACAAGTGGTTCAGCCGGGAGAGCCGGCAGCTCCCCATCCCCATCCACATCGCACAGAAAATGACTTCGGGTATGTTCCAGGCTGTGGCTTCTCTCAGAATGACAAATGTAGAGGCTCCATCAGGGCTTGAATGTTTGAACAGGGTTGAAATCTGAGATTTTTTTTACTTTTAAGTGCCTGAAGGACAACACTTTTTAAGGCTTGTGTTTCTTCTTTTGAAACCTCTCCACGTTACAATCTGTAATGTGAGAGCCAACAGAAAGTGCTCGCTTATCAACAGACATGCTTTCAACATTCATGCACTTCTTAACTCACTTTCTGGTTTCGTCTTATTTAAATTTAATCTGAGAAAAATTACCTTAACATTTGTGGACTTGCACTGAACACAGAGGAATATCAGAAGAAGCAGGAATAGTGTATAACAGAAACTATTTTACTTCATTTGTGGGCAAGAGTCTCTTTTTGGGGCTTCTGGTGATTTATCACCCCTCAGTACACTCACATTTGATGAAAAAAGTATGTTTTCTTTCCTTTTTTAAAGTGTCAACAGTCTGTTCATTGTCTCTGAAGGCAGCAACACGTTTCTGTGTGATGTTAGGGTCACAAATGTTGTGTATTTTTTTCCTCACAGGCAGCACTGAAGACGCTGTGGTGCAGCTGGTCCCACTGGCCATGAAACTCTTCCACAAAATGGTGGACAGCAACGCCGCCTTCCACCTCACGCTCATTAACGTCTGCTTCAGTAATCTGCAGACCCGAGCGGCTGCCGTCAGCGGGAAGGGCGCCATAACATCGTTCTTCTCACAGAGCAGCCCTCCTAAAAAAAAACAACTGGTGATGAGTCTTTCATTTTCTCCTCTTAGAAAGAGTTTGCTAATTCAAAGAATTCCCACAAACTCATTTCTGCCCCTCTTGTACTCTCCAATAGGAGGATTCCTCTCAGGATGCCAGGAGGCGCTGCTTGGATGAAGGTGAAGTTGGCGTACACAACACAAACAGAGGGAAAGTCACCACACAAAGCTCTTTTAGCTCAGCGGCTGCATCGCAGGGGGTCGAGCAAAAACAAAGCTCCCTCCATGCAGCAGAAGAGGAACAGAGAGAATCGGGATGTTTCCTGAAAGAAACAAATAATTTAGCGTCAGTTCGACTGCCACCAAACGTGGACCCCGAGGTGTTCGAGCTTCTCCCAGAGGAAATCCAACAGGAGCTGTTAGCTACTGCCCACCTGCACACAAAGTCCAGTGTGCTCAGCAGCCCCTCGTTTGCTGATGATCCCTTTACGCCGAATATCAATCCGCCGCGGCCATCGACAAACTCTCCACCTACCGAAAAGACTAAAAATGCTGCAAAGACATTAGATATATCCCACAGAGCAACCAGCCCGAGTCCCCAGTGGCCTGCGGGCATAAGCGGAGTTCAAAGAGACAGCACCACAGAGCAGGGAAAACCCTCAAGCCCTCAGTCTTCTGGCTGTGATTTCCCTGGAAACGTGGACCCCGCGGTGTTTTCTGAGCTTCCGTACGACGTTCAAAGGGAGCTGATGTCTGAATGGAAGCGGGAGAGGCCGGTTCAGAAGACCCCGTCCTCCAGGAAACCGGGAAGAAACGTGATGGCCAAAGAGAGAGACAGGAGGGCTGCAGGGAGAAGCAGCCAGGCAAATAACTTGCTCAACTACTTCAAACCCAGTTAGAGAAAGATGGCGATAGCCTGGCTGTGTTATCTGTGTTTTTGTACAATTGTGTTATTTCCTCTAAGAAAAAAATCTTGTTTAGCTCTTTATTCTTTCCATTTGATAAAAACTAAATAAAATAAACTGTGACTGTGTCCTACAGCAGCACTTTGTAGCCCCGGATTCTTAATATTATCCAAATGTTTATGTCAAAGAAGGACATTTTAGGTCTCACTTAGATGTTTTCCACTGAAATTCACAGAGGCGCACACGATTTGTCCACAGTGGACACAACCCAATGTTCAAAGAGCCTTTCTAATTTCTTTTTTGTTCTCATGAGAAAGCTAGAAACACAAGGTCTTTAAGCACAGCCCCATTTGGATGTTGATGGTCTGAAACTCCTCCCTGGATCACATGGAAGATGAGGGGGGGGGGGGGCATCGCTTCATGATAGCGGTTATTCTGTCTAAGAGGGAGTGGAAGGAGCTCTGGATGGACGTTAATACTTGAGGCGGATAGACTGGTAAGATTTGTGTTTGTGGGGGTCTTTTAGCTGTTTTTAACCATGCTTTTATAGTTTCACACAGAATTGCTGCTGGTTTGCTGTATAACTATTCAACATCTTCCCACTACACTGATTACAAGGACTTTTCCTAATGGTCCTAAAGGGAAAAGCCTCCCTGTTTTGTTCCTGTGCAGTGGACCTGGACACATTAAACCAGCCGGTGTATTTTTTTACCGTTTTTAACCGTTCTGTATAGCTAAACCTAAGGTGCATGCCCTCTTTGGCCGGCCTGCTTGGCCCCGGTTTTCTGGCATCCCTGGACCTGACAGCAGTGACCTCATGCAGCCATGAGCTGTCCGCCTATAGCCCTTTAAATTCCATGAAAGGACTCCTGTCTGGAAAACAGAACTTCGGAGAGGCATTTGACTGCTCATGTGGAAGCCAGCTCCAGTCATGTGCTAGTCTTTCTCTGATCAGAGCCTAATGACCAGGGAGTTATGACGTCCTGCTTAAGCCTGTGTGATGGGCTCGCAGCCTCAGACTGAAAAAACTGAGGCTTAGTTGGAAGAATTTCACCCCCTTAATTTTTTTCTTAAGTTAACCGTGAAGGATTTGCTTAGAAATACACATATGTCTCTAAACTCTCACAGGGGGGGCCGGGGGGACTATGATTCATAAAAACCAGCCAGGTATTGTATTGTAGATCAATTCTGTGGCAGGTTCAGCACAATGGTCGACTGGGACTACGACTATTTGATCAAGCTGCTGGCCCTGGGGGACTCGGGGGTGGGAAAGACCACCTTCCTCTACAGGTACACGGACAACAAGTACAACCGCAAGTTCACGACCACAGTGGGCATTGACTTCAGAGAAAAGAGGGTGGTGAGTGCAATCTGTTTTGTGTCTATGCGTAAGACATGGTTTGAAGGGGATTCTTTAAAAGTCTTTGACTCTGCTGGCCTATTTGAAAACTCTTTGATCACTGATCGGATAAATTCAGAACAAAGCCCTTCCATGACAGTGTTTTAATTTAGCTTTCTGCTAATAGTCTCCTTATATCTCCTGGCATCAATCAAACCCACATCTTAGTATCATGTTTCAGGCTGTTATCTTTACAGATTCTCCCTCACCTCTTCAACACAACAAAGGAAAATCACACCATTTTCTAAACTTATTATTGTTCTGATTTTTTCTACAGACACTGTGACAGCAATGTAAAGGTCAACAAGCTCTGATATTGTCACAAGTCTGATACAGAGAGAAGGAAATCACAGAAGAAAAACAAATACTTGTTACTTGTTACTCTGTTATGAATAAGTGTTCTTGTTGGAAGTGTCATGAGATTTAAGTAAATTAAGTAATGATGCAAAATTTGGTAGCAAAACACTTCCTGCATAATTTCATTTTTAAGTACAATATATTCTTTCTTTTACTACTACGGAAGGCACCACTTAAGAGGCTCAGAATGTTTAGCTGTTTTGATTTGTGTCCTCTGGTTTTGGCTCAGGCTTACTTGGGGACGGGCGCTGATGGGACAAGTGAGAGGAGCTTTAGAGTCCACCTTCAACTCTGGGACACAGCAGGCCAGGAGAGGTAAGTCCTATCTGATGTTCGCTTTATGTTAGACATTTTAACTTGCCACAAATGCACACAGATGTTGACATTCTGACTTTGATAACTCACAGTGATGACGGCAAATCAGCATCAAATAATCAAATGATTTAAACACCTGCTTTTGAGCTTTACCTTTTCAACATGGTTGTTTAGCGTCCATGTCCAGAATTGATATATTAATTCATTCTTATAACCCTGTGAGGTTTGCCATGGCTCAGTTGTCAAATAGGTAAAGTGTGGGGCTCATCAAAGCAAGCGTTTTTCATTATTTTTGACCATTAAACGTCTGATCAGAGCAAGATCTGCCTGTCATTAGGTTCCGCAGCCTCACCACCGCGTTCTTCCGAGATGCCATGGGCTTCCTGCTAATGTTCGACTTAACCAATCAGCAAAGTTTCATCAACGTCAGGAACTGGATGAGTATGCCTCTCCTTGTTTTTCGGAGTCAGGCTCAACTCATTTATATCTGAGGTCAGCTTGTAAGTTTCAATGACTTCCTCTGTGTCGATTCAGGTCAGCTGCAGGCCAACGCGTACTGTGACAGCCCAGATGTGGTGTTGGTGGGCACCAAAGCGGACCTCAGGGACATGAGGAATGTCCACGGCAGACAGGCCAAAGATCTGGCCGACAGATATGGGTGAGGTGTTGCGTGCGATTCCTTTTGCCCAACAGCACAAGAACGACTTTCTCACTGAGACATTTACATCATGTAATGTTATCTGATTTGAAAAACCTACAACAGAAATACGTATGGAGGGATAATGGCAAGCTTATTTATCCTCAAGGAGTACTCATAGAAACATTTTAAAATATTCTTTGTGGATGATCAGCTCATCTTGAATGTGATGGCAATAATACATTAATAAATTGACAACAAAGTTAGCATGGGGCAACAAATAGCTGTGGTGGCAAGTGGAGCTTAAAAAACAAACATCTGGAGGCATACAGTGCCTCTTAGTAGGTCAAGATTTAAATATCTGCAAGGTCTACAAATAGTGGAGCAAATTTTCGAAATAAAGTCATTTAATAAAAAGACTGTCTGTTTTTAGGGAGGGTTTTGTTTATTTCAGCAGTTCAGTTATAAACTATTTCCTGGTAGAAATGACCAGGTGTGGACCGACCAGCCTTTGGAAAGCATTCTTCTCCCAAAGGTCCAGCATTTGGTGAAGTTGTCTTTGTAAATTTCATTCACCTTGACCATCCTGTTAGTGTTATCTTTTTACATATTTCTAAAAAAAAACCTGCAATGAAATCACAATAGCGTAAGTGTTGTGTAAATCATTGAAATTGACATAAAATACAAAGAAAAGTCAGCAGTCAAATCAGAAGCCTTGGCTCCTGTGTCCAAAGTTTTCCGGCCTTTTCTCAGTTCCCTAAATGAGAAAGAAAGTGATCCTAAAAATCTTGAAGATTTCACATGAGACGTTTCCTTTTGTTTTAAGTGTTTGCTGTCCTGGTCAAAGTTTCAGTGTTGCTGACCTCTAATGGAATTTACCTAGTTAAGCAAAGATTTACTAAATCTAAATCCCCACTGGTATGATTCAAGTCACAGCTGCTGTTAACTGACACCCATAAGCATTCCGGGAATTGTTTCATCGTGAATTCATCGTTTAGTTGATCGACTAGTCTTGTCCGAGAGATTTTGGGGAGTTTTTAGGAATGTGTGTTATTCTCTTTTGTTCAGCAGTTGGCAGTGTTTCTTATCTCTTTAACAAGAGCTGACATAGCTCTGACATCAGTTCACCACAAGATGGTGCAAGACAGCTGCTGTCTCCTGGCTGTGCTTCATGTTGTCCACTATGAGCTGGAGGGTCACTGATGCAGTGCATAGTTTCTTATATCTTCCAAATGGATAAGCTTAAGACAGTTAAAAAAAATCTTTGAGACCTCAGGTCTTAATCTGCTGCTAATCTGATAATTTCTTAACAGTCTAAATAGTCTGTCTTTATTTGTTTGTGACGGCCTGCCACTGACACAAACCCCTCAGCATCCCGTACTTTGAGACGAGCGCGGTGACGGGCGTTAACGTGGACCAGGCGGTGACCGCCCTGCTGGGCCTGGTGATGAAGAGGATGGAGCAGAGCACGTGCGGAGCCCAGAGCTCCGAGCCCAACGGCAGCCCCACAGGGAGCCACGAGGTGGAGGAGGCCCCCGTCAGGAGGAGGTGCGCCTGCTGATGTCTGCAGTCCACAGCCGCCGGGGAGAGATCTGTACATAGTAACACAACAGCTTTGAGACAGCCAAACAGCTGAAGCTGTGGAAAATATCGTCAGAAAATTCCATTTTTTTCGCTTTGGAAATAAACCAGAATTTCCTATCTTTTTCCATAGCAGCAGACAAAGCAAATCATTTAGATCTCAATCTGTTTTTGATGTTTTAACCTTAATCTGAGGCACAGAACAAAGAAACAAGGTTCCCCCCATGCCGTTGTAAATGCTGGTTATTGCTCTTTTATTCATTAAAACTGGTTTGTCTATGTCATTTTTTTAAATAGTGGCTTAAACTTTAGCTCACAGAACATGTATTTCAATGCAGATCTTCCTCCATGTGTCTACTTAAATTAAAGGTTATATTAATTTAACAGTATTCGGCTCAGGCAGTCGATTTTAACTTTCAGATGCAGCACATCAGTACTGAGGATACGTTTTCTCTGTAGGTTTTAGTTGGTCATGACTTTAGATACAGGTATTAAAACTGTCAGAAGGTCTGACAGTAATCCTGACATGAGGACAAAAATAGTTTCTTTGCTCTTCAAAAAGTTATTTATGACTGAGGTCAGTTTGTTCTCGTGTTAAATTGTAATCTTTGTTAATTAAATCTAGTTTCTGTATTCGAAACATAGATTAATGGGTAAAAATTAATAATTCTCATGTCAAAAAGCTTTTAACAGCAATAAGAACAAAGTCATCAAACAGAACTACTCTATCTTATAAAGACTTCAACTATAAACAGACACAGTAGATAACAGATTCTTTTCTATGGATTGTGGTTTCACACCAGTTTTCCAACTCATTCATTTTTGAGAAGCCAGTTCTTCTCTCTGGTTCTGGCTGTGACAGTAAAGCATCCACTTTTGAGTCCATTTCTGCCTCAGAATCTCCTCTAGTAGATCTCTGATCTCTGATAAAGCTGCTGTCACATCCTCAAAGTACCTCAGAGGATGGGCCTCGATGCTGGTGATGGAGAGTGTGTGGTTGTCAGGACTGTGGATGTGAGCTCCTGTGTGTGTGAGAGCTTCTTTCGGCTCAGCATCTTTCCGTCTTAGCTCAGAGATCTCCTGCCACGGCTCCTCCTGAAGTTCTCTGACTCGATTCTCTTCTTTATCCTGCTGAGATCTGAGCTGCTGCTTCTTTTCTGGATGTTACGGATCAGCTCGGAAAAAAATCATCTCCCTGTCCTCCGCCGCTTTGCCAGCGGAGCTATTTATGGCCTCCGCCTCCTGTTGGAGACGCTTCCCATCCTGTATTCTCTGCTCCACTAGCTGAGATTTCTTTAACTGGGCTAAATCATAATGAGGCCGGAAGTGTTTCTCACAGTCAAAAGACTGAACACATCAACGGGACTTTCACTTTTCTTCTGGTACAGAGGTCACAGGCCGCATCTTCCGGTCCAGCATAGCAGAGATCTGCTGCTTCCACTCTTCCTCAGCTTCCCCTCTCAAAAAAAAAATGCTGACATGGTGTTTTCCATCAGGACATGCCTCGGCGTGAGGGTCTGCCCGCATTGAGGGCAACTGGGAGTTTTCTCCTCTCCTTCATCCCAGACATCTGTAATACACTTTAAGCAATAGCCATGTCCACATGGTTTAGAAACCGGATCCCTCAGCAGACGCGGATAGATGGAAGAAGAGAGGAGGTTTCTCGGTGGAGATCGGAGCCATTTCTCCTCTCGCTGGCAACGGTGCCAGAGTTTCACCGTCTCACAAATTAAACTAATCTGAGCTCAGCTCTACAAATGACTTGGCCCCACCCATCATTAAACTGCATATCTGACTGGGGGAGAACGAGGAAATGTGTGTACCAAGTGTGGCAGGAAGAGGGCAGAGTGATACAGTCCAGGAGGAGGAGCAGATCAAGGGAGACAGAATGAGTTTAACCCTTATCTGTGCAACAGAACTCATTTTCCATTACTTTGACATTGTAGCTGTCAAAATCTCTTTTAACAAAAGCAATCGTTCTGTTTTTTTTCATCTGAGAATGTTTAGTTAATGTCGTTTTTTTCAGTTTTCTTGTGCTTTTCTAAGTGTTTCACTTGTTTTTCTGTTCTTCCCTCTCAGCTGTGTTATATTTTTCAGAATCTAGCTTCACAGCCCAAAACAAGTGAACTACAATGACGAGGTTCAAACTTCATTACCTCTGTGTTAAGATGGTGTGCATCAGTTTTCAATCTGAGAGAGAAATTCTTCGAAACCTCTCGCGGCTTTCATACATGCAATTAAAATGTGATGTTAACATCAGAGGGAAAAATATCTAGTTTAAGACAATCATCACTCTAAAAGATGTGCTTTTTCCCAAAGATATTTTCTATTTTCGGAACAACAGTTATTTTAGTGAACTGTGGGGGGGATCCTGAAAATGATCCTGTGTGAAAACTATTCCTTTCTATATATGACGTGGAGGAAAATCTCTGCTAAATTGCTCGTACAGAATAAATGGCATTTTTTGCACTGAAGTCAGAGAAAAATACCGTTTTTTATTTGACACGCTGAGGCATTGATGGGAGGAATTTACAGGCACATAATGGACATTTATCATGGCGTATACTGAAAACAACATTTAAGACACCGTTTACAGAGATGATTGCTTTGATTGAACAAACCAGTTTAGCACAGTCCCTTAGATGCTTTATGACGCGTACGTACGCAGCCAGGCTCTCTATAAGCTGCTGTGGAGACCAAAACACAACTTCATGACTCTTAAAGGGTTGTTGTACTAATCCATGCGTGGTTCAGAGTAACGGCATGTTTTGGGTTATTTGTGTCGCTGTCCTATCATGTAATAAACAAGCAATACTGATAATGTGATTATAAGCTTTGTAGAGTGTGAATAGCACTTCTCTCTTTTACTCACATTCTACACATCCATGTCCAACATGAAGAGACTGTTTGTTTGGAAGACATTAATGTCCAACATTCATATAACAGCCAGTGGATATTTGAATCAATCTAAAAAGGGGACATTCATGGAGTCACAGATTTTACCACTGTAATTTGGCAGGAAAAATATGTGATAGCTGATAGCATGTGATGGTACACAACATCAAAACTTCCCTAATAATGTTTGTCATTTCTGCTAATGGTGGTCTTTGGTTTACCCACAGAACATTCCTATTGAAGGGACCACAAAAAACTACTCCGACAATCAATTCAACTGACTCAGGTTCCAAAAACTTCCACAAAAATCATCCAACATGTGATTTCATGGAAGTGACCGCACCCCTGGTTTGAAGACGAGACACACGAGCTGACAATCTTGAAAATGTTCTTGACAGAGGGGATGGACAAAAAAGCTTTGTGTGACAACAAGCGTGAAAATCTGAAAGCAGAAGAAAGAATTTGCAACAAGGAGCACGTGGCTGAGTCATGAGACAGTCTTGTGGCCAGCTTCAACTGTTTGGCTTTAGTCGATACCACGTATCAACCAGTCTGTTTCAGTCTAGCGCAAACCCAGGATTAGCTCTCAAACTAAATAAAACGTATTCTTCTATAAGCTGATCCGTAGAGATTTTGGTCCAATATATGATATAGCAGAAGGATTATTTTCTGCCTATAAACAACTTTCTTACAGACTCTATTTATGATACATGCCATCAGGGCCACAAACAATTGTCAAGAGCTATTCCCCCTCAAAGCAACCTTCAAAATGTTTGAATAAAGCCTAGAATAAATTTTAGTGCCTCACATGCAATGCTATTTAAATGGATCATGCTCTTTGTACAAGATGCAGTAAGTTAGATAAAATCAACTCATTTCTATGTTGCACATCACAAATGCTGTCACAAATACAGTTGTGACACATAAAGAACCCAGCTCAACTCAACAAAAGCTCTATGATAAATGGTATTCTCCGCTGTTTTTAAATTCAAATCATTTTAAACTTCATGATGAATCTTTTAATAAGGAAAATCTTTCAAAAGAGGCTGCCTTTTTCTTTTGTTTGTACTGCTATTAAGGTTCAAATAGGCATCACTCACGATGTTTGTTTCCCGGAAATGTTTTCAACTTTTGATATCTTAAGATTTATTGGCAGTTAAATAGAGAGATGAACACAAGTTAGGCAACTGGTTCACAAAGCAGCTCTCATAATCTCTTATTTTTAAAGTAACGTTTACTCTAAAGACAGATTACAGGTGTTACTGTTAGCTTCTGGGACTCTGATAAGACGTTGTGGGGTAAAGATCGTATGGACACATCTGAGTGGTTGAAAGATTATAACTTTTTACAAAAATAAATAGAACTTTTGAAAATAAAATGGTCAGAATGATCTGCAACACCGGCATAATTCAATATCAGCTATACACGTTAAGACTTTTGGAATTGGATATGGCGATTCATAAATAAAGTCTTGACTGAGTTACGTGTTGGGTTTTGGACTTACCTACACCAGGCTCTACTGCAAAAATTCAACTAGAATAAAATCCTACAGCACTACTCTCTGATGGAGAGGTGACAAAAACACATTTTTTTTAATTTAGCAAACTCTCAGAGGTTCGCCTGCAGCTTCCAGTAACAACACAGAGATTACACACACAGGTTTTTGTGGACTTTGTCGCCAGTGCAGTGCCCAGCTGCCACAATCCAGTATTGCAAATCATTTCAAAGTTATAAGCCTCTGATTTAATGAAAAAAACCCATTGATAAACATGCTGGGAAATTTAATAAACACCTCGACCCAAATTGAACAAGAATACCCAAATTTAAAACTAATTAAATTTATTATGTAAAATGACCCTTTTTTTAAATTCATCTTTAGAAAATCAGTGTTTTGTGACTTGACTGCTGCCACTCGTGTGGATATGGATATTGAAGTCCTGCAGGAAGATATTTTAAAGTCTATTCTCAGAACCTAATGTAGGCCGACATTACTTTCTACAATTATGCACTGAAATGACAACAGATCACTGTCTGTTCGTGAATTTATGGCTTACTGTTGGAATGTTGATCGTTATCTAAAAATTTTGAGTTATCACAACAAAATTTTGAGTGAATCATCACACTGTTTAGAGAAAATAAAAGTTCTTTCTTTAGATATTATGTAGCTATTTATACAGAGTACAGCCTTGTAAACAAATACCGTCTTCCAGAGCAGTGCAGATTGTCTGACACCTCTTGGGGAAAAAAGGCCTGAAAAGAAGAACTGTACCACTAAAGAGGCGTTGAATCTGATTACAAAAAACACTGATCTAACTCCTTCCCTGAGATTAGGCAGTGATTTCAGTGTACAGAATCAGCATACTGCTGTAAAGGTGATTCATCTGTTAGTCAGAATTTAAATCATCCACATTCCGTGTTTCCACAGCTAAGTCCAGCATTCAGACTCCGGCTGAAACAAATGCTTGATTCTCTTCTAATTGTCGAGCCACAGCCAGTAGCCATGCAAATGGCAGAAATGGAAACAACTGAGCAGCATGGAAGTCTTAACACTACCACAGAACACAATTATCTATCAAATTAATCACAAGGCCGCGATTTACATCCCAACTGAGCCTGACGTTGGCCGCGTTGTGTGTGTGGTAGGATAAAAGTTGCCTTAACGCGTTTCATGCTTATCCTGTGTGTCACAACAGAGGTTTGAACTGATGAGTATGGGTCGTGGACTCGGGGAGTCAACCCCGAAACCATCTATGAGCAATGAGTCAGGCTGAGCTTGGTCACGCCCTCCCTGTGCAGCTTGTAGAGCAGCTTGAATTCGCTGGGCAGCTGGTGGGTTTCCTGCCACTTGGTGGTGAATTTGGTCCCTTTCTTGTCATAGTAGTGGTAGGGCAGGTCTTTGCCTGTGTTGGGGTCCCAGCCGAAGGGCCAGAAGCCGTAGAGGTGGATCTCGTCACACATGGCGGAGGCCAGCGTGTACATGAGGATCCCGGTGCTGAGACGCTTCGGAGAGAGGTTTTTAGTCTTCCAGTATCTGTGCGGGAAACGGGATGTTAGCTCACCTCAGATAAAACTGATAAATTTTTTCTAAATACAGTCATGTTCATTTTCCTGAATCAGAAAAAACCATCACCATCGTGTGGACGATCAAATGGCAAATTCTCAATCAATCCTAGACTATCTTTTATTGAACACTTTGTCATGTATATGTAATGTTTCCACAGCTTTATCGTCCTTCTGTTCTGAAAATGATGTCTTAAAAAGCAGAAAAATCTTTAAATGATAACCATACTGAATTACTTAAGAATACTGTGGTAGACAAAATGGTATAATGCTTAATGGCTTTAAAAGTGATGCTTGGAACAAGAGCAAAGCCATGTAGTCTGGTGGTCAATTACATCTATTCCTTTAGATTTTTTTACTGCCGTGTTGTCAACATTGTGCCACAAATGTTTTTGAAACATTGGAACCAGGATTAGGTTTAACATGAGACAAACCGTCACTCGCATTTGCAGTTTCAAGAATTGCCCAAAACAGCTAAACTGTGTAGTGTAGTTTTGTCTTTTAACCCTGTGAACTTGCACTGTCGCTGCCAGTTTTTGCCCGCTCAGATTCTAATAATTTCTAATTATTCTATTTCTCTAATTATTCTAATTATTAATATTGTTGGAATGTTATGCATATCTAATTGTTTTTAGTAATTTAATGGAAAATGAATTACAGAAAATAGGGGCATGTGCTATTAATCATCTAACAATATCACATTATTTTCAATATCAGCAAAGAATTTCTATCCGTCATGAAGAACATGCAAATAAAATATAAATACATAAGAAAATAGTTAAATATCCATTATGCCTACACTTCTATAGTCAACAGTTTTAGATCCTTCAAACTTAATGTTTTCTTACTTGTTGACATCATGCATGATGTTTCCTGGCCAGGCCAGTTCCACCTTCAGTTGGCCCTTGTGCTCCACGAAGAAGTCCACCAGGGTCCGGGTGACGGTGGCGGAGGTGTGTAGGAAGAAGGCGGGGATCCACAGGATGGCCCCCTCCAGTTTCTTCAGGTTGAGGAAGAAATTATTCCTGTCTTGAATGGTGAGCAGGTTATTATAGTACCTCTCCAGGATGCTGGGGTTAAAGGTGGTCAGGTTGGTCTTTTTGCCCACATCCTTGTAGTAAACCTCAGTGGGGGCAAAGTTGCAGCGGAAGACGAAGTCGGCTTGGTCGATCTCGGGGCCGCAGTGGCTTCCTGTCAGGATGCCGCTGTTCCCCACCACGGCACACATGCTGTAGTGCTTGTTGACGATGGGAGAGGCCTCCGGAAGCAGGGACTTGAAGTTGTTACTGATGGAGAAGACGTACTTGTTGCTGGAGTAGTCAAAGTGCATCAGCTGGCCAACCTTCACGCTATTCTTTGTGAGGGAGAAGTTGTTGGAGATATCAATGAAATTGTAGATGTCTTTCCTGGAAAAAAAAAACAGCAGGTAAACAATTTATTACCAGAATGCAAGAATTCATGATGGACACCACAGTTACACATTTTTTGTATCTAACAATCTCAACATATCTTTGGGGACGTACTCAGCTATGAGGATCGTGTTTTGTTTCAGTGTGATGTCATGTTTATCCTGACTCCTTTTCCTCAGCTCCCTGGTAACTTCTATTATTCCTGGGATTTTAGCTTTGCCCTAGTTTAGTTTTTTTTTTTTTTTTTTTTGTCTGAAAGAAAATGTTCTGCTTGGGGACTTCTTTGCTCACATGGGCAATGATGGTGAGACTTGGAAGGGTTTGGTTGGCTGGACTGACTGCCAGGATATCCCAGGCCGGAATGGGAAGTCTGAGCCTCCCTGAAAATGACAAAGACTGGAGGCACGATCTTACCTCTGCTGGTAAAATGCTGTTCTGTTGAACTTCCATCTGGACGGTTTTCCCTGGAGCTCCTCGTTCAGGGCATTGGTTAATGGGATGAAGGAGGGGTCGAGAAAATTCATGGCAAACTGAGACCTGAAAACACAACAAACGGCTGAGTCATCACTACGCCTGATGGGTCACATTGATTATGTCACCGTTCTTCTTGATATCCCTGAAATCTTCAATCCTGATATATAGAGTTCCACAAAGAAACCCTATTATCCACTCTAAGTAGTCGTTTATGCACACTTGAGAAATGCAATGTATTTCTACGTCCTACTTTATGATCTGCCAGTGAAGGGAGAAGTATTCTAAATTTGACTTAATCAAAAGAAGAAATGGCTCAGCTAAAGTAAAAGCGATGACTGCAAAACCTTTGCTTATATAACGCCATTATGAGTTTTGGGTTTCCTCCTCTCTATCAGTATTGCTTCTCTTATATGTAAAAGGTCAGCCATTTTACAAGAATCATCAAGACAGAGGGGCAAAAAACTGAGCTTAAGGCAGGAGGAAGGAAGGTGCAGTGAAAATCTGCATTAACAAGGATGTTGAACTTTAACAATGGGGCTGGAAGATGAAACGCTGGACTTTAATGAGGAAAATGGGCTCTTTCACATCAAAATCAACCTAATGGTCTCCAATTTAAATATACATAAAAAGCAGAATCTAAGTGATCTAATTGGGATTGAAAATGTTATGTAAATATTCAAGATAAGGTTACTTAGAGTTTTAGATGTTATAATTGCCCAAATATAACACCTACCAGTACATATAATTACAATTCTCATAAAATGTTTCATTTGATTCAAATGTGAAACGATAAAAATGGTATGATTCTCAATCTTTAATGCATAACTGTGTGATGTGGAAAATGTTTGTGAATGACATAGGATAAGGCATTAAATGAAAAAAGGACTCCAAAAGCAGCACATGGATTCACTATATACCTGTTACTTCTCATCAATGAATGTATGGTTTCATTAGCCAATCAGATCTTAGAGCATGTCAGCAAGCTTTTTCTTGTGGGTCTTGTAGGTCTTACCAAAATAATCCAAATCCCACACTTTGGATGGTCATATAGAAACAAAGTCTATGCTACAGCCTCTGAAAACATGCTATTAGAGAAAGCCTAGATCTATTTATCATAGTTCTCAGTCTTGTTGACCTTTTGTGGATATTTTTGTCTGCACTATCAGGTATACTTGAATTCAATTTCAGGTCCTTTTCTTTTCCCAGTAGTGGAGAATTTGAGGTAGACTTGGCAAGATTTGTTAAAAAGTCGCTTATTTGTCTCGTAGTTTTCACTTGTAATGGTCCAGTGTGCATCCTGCCTCTTGTATACAACTCTAAATAGGTATGTATAAATCAGTCCTATCTAAATTAGAGTACATAAATATGTCTGAAAGATAAAAGAAATACAGTTGCTCCTGTTCCCCCTACAGGTGGAGCAAGCTCCATCTGTGCTACGCTTTTTGGGTTACACCTTTCCCAGAAAACAGGCGTCACAGAGCCTGTGAAACGTTTTTATATACGTCTATATAGACATTTATGACCCCCCCATCTTTTCTCAAAGCATAACCCGATTCACCCACACAAGGCTCAGCACGTTGAGGGTTAAATCAGCACCTCGGACAGCACACAGTTTGATTGACAGGAAGAGCGTTCAACTAAAGATGCTAAGCAGGATTTGTCCCGCAAAAAAGGCCACGGTCTTCTGTTTACACTCACACCGACCCCGGTCTGCATTTCACCAGCTGCTAAATACCCCTCCTGGTGCCGTTTACTCACCGAAAACCCGCATGAAACATAATCCGCGGCCCTCCCATGTAGTATTTCGAGGAGCTGAAGAGGCTGTCTTTGCGCAGGGAGACATAGCTGATGAGCGACAAAACCAGCACTACGACGCACAGGATGACCAAACCCAGGGCCTTGGCGATGCGGACCATCTTGGGAGTGTTTTCATTCCCCGTCTGGGGCTGCGTGGAGGCGTTGGTTTATGCTGTCTGGGTCGGGGCAGCTGCGGCCGGACGGAGGGGCGATAATCGACTCATAGGATCGCGTAAAATGGACGGCCGGTGGTCGATGGCAGCATGATGATGATGAGGAGGAGGACGACGCGGGTCGGGCTGCTCTCATTCCGCCGGGCTCCCCGGTTTAATCAAGGAGATGGATCAGAAATGCGCGTCAACACATCCGGCAGCGAGCTTCGCGACAAGCCCACCGTCCACCGGCAGCATCAGCATCACCACCGCCTCCTCCTCCTCACACTGGCCCCCCTGCTGCACAAAGGAGAGCCTGTCCAAGTGATGAGAGGCACCTTCACTTCCGAAACAATCCCATCCGTCCAACTTCTGCAAGAATTGGGATCGGACGTTTAAAGCGAACCTTTTTAATGAAGAACCAAAATCATCTCCACACGAGTGGCAGCAACAGTTTGGAAAAACAGATGATCACAGAGGCAACAAAAGGCTGGATCAGAAAGTGAAAATAAAAGCGACAGCAGGAGGAAAATGCTGTAACTATTTAGATGAATCAGAAGCAGGTCACGTCGTTATTGGACAAAAAGACAGCACCTAAAGAGGCAGAGTGTTTGAGAAGTGACAGAAACTCTTTTTGCATCCCCTTGCAGAAAAAAAAAATGGCATTTTCTAAAAAATGCCCCGAAACGAACTACTTTAGATACAAACAATCATTGTACATAACATTCTCAGAAGACTAAAGTAAAGGGCATCTCTGTTAACACGAGATTAAATCAAATGGCAGCTCTGGATGCCCGTGACCTGCAGGCCTCCAGGCAACAGAGATGATTCTGTCACGGGAGTGGGTCAGTGCACGGGCCAGCCCGCCAGGGCAAACACAAGTCAACCCGTATCACGCAAAGAATGAGCCTGATGTTAACATTACCCAGTAACGCTGCTGTATTCTCCAGGCTAAAGCTTGTTTAAAACGAGCTGATACAAAGTGGGAAACATCTCGGTGGTCAGACAAATCAAACCTTGAGGAGAGGGGCCAACAGGTTTGTTAAAAATGTTTTTAAAAAAACATATCTTATGGTGTTGGGTTTATCTTAATGTATCCAGAGGGTAATAACAATAATAATAATAGCAAAAAGTTAGAATGATAGATATAATAGACTATTAAAACAAGTCACATAAAGTACCTCTTTTATTCATAACAGTTGTTCCCATTCTTCGACCTTGTTCCATGCAATAACTAAATACAATATGACGCGACATAAAACAGTTTTTTTCTTTTCACATATTCACATTTAAAAACATTTTTTTTTACTTTCTTTGCAGTAAACGTATCTTTCTACACGTAACATGCAGCCATAATCGCTTAAATGGATCCATGCATTTACAGTTTGAAGTTTCCACACAATAACATCATATGTGACACATGAGAACAGCACGTAGAAAAACATTTTTCACACGCGGAATACTGCAGGTACGTGGGTGTCGAGTATAAAAAGTGTTGTTAAAAAAATAGGGGGGATGTTCAAGTATGATTGCTGGTATTAAACAGAGTGTACAAAAATAACAGGCATCCTCTGGTTTCGTTGTCCTTTACTAGTTTTCTCTGGAATGCGTCACGCTCAGAAGCCCTGCTTAGAAAGAGGCATTCGGTTATCGTCAAGCTGCCAAAGTATTGCAATTTTTTCACTTTGCCTTTTACAGATATGTTTTTTATCTCCATTGTTGATGAACAGAAACTGAACTAACACAGGCACTTTGTCATCCAATATCTGTCACTTTGCATATGCATTTACACACACACACAAACATATACCTATATATATATAAATATCATAAACACACATATCTGTCCTAATCTCTGTTACAATCCAGGAAACATTTAAATGCTGTGGAGCATGATCAACGTCCATATTGGAAAAATGTAGAAGGGAAAAAGGCTCCTTCCCCGTCACTCCCTAACGAGCCACACGGGGTGTCTTCTCCACAGCTGGTGTCCCCACAGGAGTCCTCACTGTAAAGGAACAGGAGGCCAGGCATGAAAAACTGCTCTCAAGGTGTCTGAAGTCACAATAACTATCGAAATAAATCCCGTCTGTTGGCACGGCAATTTGGAACAGTACAGACCCCATTTGTCTCAGTTGAACTGCTCATTGGTAAACGAAGCTTAAAAGTTCAATCAAATTAGCAGAGTTTTATTACATGAGATGAAAAATATCTTTTGAATATATTATTAACAGCTGCTCTAAAATGTATAACAATCAGATGGCTCAAACCTGAACCTCCTTTTTTACAATATATGGATTCAGAAGGTCTGGGATATATACCAAATCGAACAGATAACATATTCTCTGAGACTACAAATATCCATATTCACTAAACGTTGGAGACCTGTCGTACCACTAATAATGCAATAATGTTTTTTTTGTTTGTTTCTTTTTTTTCCCCCAACTCTCAAAGTCTGTAACCTTTACCTTTCATTCTCTTGAAATCACCCTGTTGTTTGTGTTCAGCTTTTTATGTTTAAAAGTGTAAAAATACACATGTACATTTGTACCACACTGTATTATTTCTGAAAAAATAATAAAAAATGTGTTAAAAAATTTTTTTTAGCAGAGTTAAAGGCCTGACAGAAATAATTTCAATAAGACAGGAGGTCTTAAAAATCATTTCCACACAATAAACATTTAGTTAATTCAGTTATTTGAAAAGTAGCATGAAAAAAAGAAAAAAAAAGATGGACTCATCCACCTCTCACTCTGGTCCCAGCTCAGCTCGGGAATAGTGGGCAGCCCGGGAACGCTGAAGTGACTCGTCTGCAGGCCCTCTGCGGTTCTCCTGGACAAGATCCACACGAGCCTTTTGTTGTTTGGTTTGTTGCACTGGCTCGAGCGGTACTGGGTCATGCACTTGGCAACAAGCTCCTTCCAGTGCAGCAGCTCACTGTCACCGACCTGTGAGGAGGACAGGCAGGAAACGTGTGAAGGCTGTCGGGAGGAAACCGTCTGACACGAAGACTGTTTCCTGCAACACGTCCCACACGTGGCCGCGGCTCGCCACCTTTTCTGGGAATTTCGGGAACGTTTCCACGCACCTTTACGAGCCTTTGGAATTGCTGGACAAGCTTCAAAAGCGTGACTGACTGGAGGGCTTCGAATTCCTGAGCCATGAGGGACAGCGCCAGCACTGAGGGCTGCAAAGAGGGAAAGGGCAGCAGACTGATTAGCTCCAAAACTCTCCGCCAATGCTGCTATGCTGACAATTTGTCAATTCTTACTTTTGCCTTAGAGAAAACAAGCTGGCATAAGCAGGCTTTAAGCTGGGCTTCCAGTCTCCCAATGCTTGGGATCTCCTCCCTTAAAATACAGAGGCAATCCTAATGTGATCCGCCACTTCAGGCATCAGAAAGCAGACGATTTTTTGAACGGCTCCATGCAAACCAGGGCTGTCACTTATTCTTTGAGGTTCGAACATTTGTTCGGCACGGGGAAACACCAGTGATCCCGTGTTAATTACAGTGTACGAGCGCTTCAGACTAAAGCCGAATAGAGCGACGCATCAAACTATTAGAAGTGAAAAAAAAGAAGGTAATGTTGTTGCAAAGTTGGCATGGCAACAGGGTCAATTTGTCAGAAAAACTGTCATAAGAGTTTAATACTTACAGGAACCTATTTGAAAAGGGGTGTTTAGAAGGGATTTGGATTTTATACTGCTATTAAATTGCATAAAGATAAAATTAGTTATTGAGTTGATTCAAAGCGATCACATTTCTGTACACTTACCTGCTAACTGGTTTTAAACATTGTCTGCGTAACTGCTTTTCACCCGTCAGCTACAGTACAGTCAAAAATACTATAGCCGATTTTTTTTTTAAAGGCGAGATTTCCATGAAAAGACGTGCACCCCAACGGGAGCTGATGGGAAGATGCACAGAGGCCCGTGTTTTGGAAACAAACCGGCTGAACTAAAGAGCTCCTGCAGTCTGGCTGTGGCCCTCTCTGACCTGCTGTTCCAGTGCGGTGCTTGGGCAGCATTAAACACACTCCCAGAGTTAATTTGATCTCAATTTCGTTTCGAATTTGACTTTTGGAGCAAGTGACAGCCCTCATGCAAAAGCAACAAGAAGACAATGAAGTGCGAACCTCGCGGCGGGCAGGGAGCTGACGGCGGAGTAGTAGAGGTGCAGGAAGGTGAAGGCGGTCACTGGTTTGGGCTCCACGCAGAGTTTCTCTGAAATGATCTTCTCCATGCGGTTGAGGTCGGACACGGTGAACTTGCTCTGGCTGATGCGAATGAGTTCATGGGGGGGTGAGACATTGCACTCTTCCTCAACGATTTTGGCAGCAATGTGCAGACAGCACACTCCAATGCAGGGCACGTGTTTCGGCTGGACCTGTCACAATCACAAAGGTGAACTCAGTCAGCATTCTGGGATTTGTCACCAGTTCTTCTTGCTTCTGATCATCCAAAATATACAACTTTGTCAAAACTCTATTACAAAACTAGATTCAGTGGCTCCAAAAGGCATGATTAAAATGCACATAATTAAGTACCGATATCGATATTATTCACATTAAAGGTTTTTCCAACACTTCAAGCTGCTCTTGGGTCATTAGGCGGGCTGTTTTAGCATAAAACTGAGAACTGCATCTCAGATGGTTTTAGTCTGTACTTTAGAACGATTTGTTTGACATTCCCCTGTAAGGTCTTTTGGGGTCATATCAGGTCATACTTTGTCAACGTGTCAGATGCACACGTCTGGTTAACATTCACGTCTTTAAAAAGCATAATGAATACAGTGCCTGGTTTGTTGATTATTTTAGAGATATCTGACTCAGCTGCAGACCATAGTGTTACATTTTAGGTCTCAGATTACCAAGAATATGTTCATCACACATCTGAGTTGAACTGATATCAAGAATGAGACTCTTAGAATGTAAACCGGCAGTCTTGGGTTTGATTTTAAAAAAAGATAATGCAGTGCACTACCGCTTGTAGTACTAACAATTCTTACCTTCATAACAGTGAGAAATCTGTCAAGGTAATTGACAGCGTGAACAAAGGTTTGAGTGCTGTAGCCAAAGAAACTGGTCAGACTCCACAGCTCTTCCACTCTGCTGTCTCTGCATTTCGCAGACACTCTGTTGTGATTCTAAAAAGTGTACTAACATGTATTAGAGCCACATCACTAGAAAATGACATATGCTACAGTATGCCATATGCCTGAACTGAGAGCCTCAAAGTGAAATAATGTGTGTTACCTCTGTGGAAGTCGCCTCCATCACTTTCAGGCCAGTTTCCCTGGGAAGAAAGGAGCTCTCTTTGGCACAGCATGACTTCAGCTCTTTCAAGATCAAGCTGTCGACGCCTTGAAGCTCCCTCATCCTGAAGAACATCATATTCAAAAAGTTTAACGTCAAAATAAAACCCTCACAGGCATGAAATCCAATAGGTCTAAGAGAAGAGCCTATTTATGTATTGTCTCCTAAACCACACCTACTGAGTGTCAGCCATCACTACTCAAAGATCCTCCACCGCCCAAAAATAACAAAGTGTCCCTAGCTAATTAGCTGAGTCAGTACATTAAGACATCAGTAAACCAAACACCAAATGACCAAATGACCCACCAAATAACTGGGTTAAATTTCCAGTAAACAACAGAAACTTGGCCACTGACATAATCCCAGCAAAGCTGTATTTAGGCGCTAGAGGATTTAATTCAAAAGTCTTAATGACTATAAGCATTTTTAACTAGTCCAACGATTTTACATTTGTTTGGGTTAGCAACATCATCTATACATTATTTGAGAAAAAAGGCAGTCAGAAAAATAACCCCAGTTTTAGCCGATTAAGCTAGCTGACTAGCGGAAATAAAAAGAAAAAAATGTATCGTCTTGCCTCGTATGTTGTGCAGGATGTGTACTGCTCTGAAGCTTTTTTACAAACTTCACTTATTCATATTTCCATTTAGACCGCTACGATAGGAATGACATGGCAGAGAAGAAGATGTTCCACAAAAGCCGTCGAACGACGTCCCTGGTAAACAAGTTATCGATGGACAACTAATAAACTACTTTAACCATCATGCACCACTGGAAACGCAACGTTTGTACGTCAATATGAGCTGTTACGCATGTTGCTATGGTGTTTCAAAAGTGTTCGGCGCCAACGCTGTTTTATCAACAATTTCCTGTTTTGACGACGAATTCTTGCTGTTTTGACCGTCGCATTTAACGACAATAATTAAGAAGCAACATAATGTTTACAGAATGCGCGCCAGGCGAATTAGCAACAGATAACGTTACCATGGTGATGGAACTTTATTTTCAACTACAACATGTTGCGTATCTCTTTAGCTAATTCTCGTTTGCCTCAAAACTGCAAGTGAACATGTCATCGGGGTTCCCAACATCTGAGCCTCGGAGTTGTAGTCGACCTGTTGGTAACGGAGCTCACTTTTATGTTCCTCCAACGGAGGATGCAGCACAAATACAAGAAGCAGCTGGTAAGCTAGCTATTGTTTGCTCAATTTTGGCTGCCCCTCAAAGTGGCTATTTGTGCTAACCTGAAATGCTCTTGCTTGTGTAGATACCCACAGCACTCCCCTTGTATTGAGATTCAACAATCTGACGCTGGATGAGCTAAGGTAATCCCCAATAATTATTTTCAAGCAATGGCAGAACGGCTGTTGTGTTTTATCTGATTTTAATCTGCTCTCCTAACACTGCCAGATTTATTTAATTTACTATAATGCTAGGATAACGGGAAATAGTTGCAAGATTTAAATGCCACTTGTTTAGATCTAACGTACAACAAGTATGAATGTCAACAGGTCCATATAAACACGTTTATTCTTAAGAACGACCGGAGCCGACAAAGTTTAAATGAAAAATCTTAAACTATTGCTTGATACCACTTTGAAAGCATCAGACAACAAGTGATGAAGAAGCTAGCTTTTTGTTTTTGGGGGGATTTTTTGTTAGAACTTAAGTGTGCCTATTTTCGTCCTCGACAATGTTGGGAAAGATAATTCAAACAAATAGTTAACTGTAAGTTTAAAGCAAAACATGTTAAAAAAAAAAACTGTTGAATTACAGTATTTTATTTTGTTTTCAAAGTAGTCTTTGTTAAATGAAAGCAATAATTACCATTAAACATACGTTTGTTTTTGACTGGTAAAAAAGATAAGATGTTATCAATCGAACCCAGTTATTTGGCATCATCAGCTAAATGTACAGAAACAAAAACAAACTGAACATAAAATTAAGAATATAAAGTACAACTGATAATCTATACATGTCTATATATACATGTTAAATATAATTCAGTAGTGCTCATACTGATAATTATGCAGCAGTTCTCTCTTTAGTCACTAAACCGATGTGTGACCAGTAAATTTCTCCACTGTGAGATCAATAAAAATCTTATCTTATCTTGTCTTAATAAAATAAATGTGCAGTTGTTTGAATGTGCAAATGAGAATTGGCCATGTGATTCAGACCAGTGCCAGCTAAAAATTAAAGTGAGTTATTTTCCAGGGTGATGACATGTGGCAGGAAAGATTTCCTGTATCTGCCTGTCATTTTTATATGCCACATTTACATTAAATGACACATTTGTGTAAGATGCATGTAATGCTTTTGTTGTAGTCGGTCATATATATCATAGATGAAATCACTAATATTATAATACAGAAGTATTTATCCATTACGGTTTTGTAATTTTTAACCCCATTTTACAGTGAAGAGCTTGACAGACGCACCAGGAAAACACAAAGACTTCAAGAGGAAGTGGAACATGCAACCAGAAAAACTTTGGAGAGCTTTGGCTGCTTTTATGGTAACAATTCACCAGGACAAAGCTGGGCCAATTGTAAGTTTAATGTCTACAAGTTCAAGCATCTTTTGTTTAAACGCATCTTTTGTTAAGTCTTTAATGTACCTGTCACAAGATCTTTTTTTTTCCATCTCTTTTTATGATAGTAGGAAAATAATTAATTAAAATAACCTGACTAGACATACACTTTGGAAATAATTGTTTTTGTAAAGAATTAAGGGACTGAGTAACAGGCATGCTTTTCCAGCTCTAACACTGACAATGTCCATGATGTACATTTTAAACTTCCTTTGCTGTATCGACAGATGCCTCATCTGAAGATTCCACCACTCTTTCAACCCACCAGCAGCAGGCAGGGACTCAGCCTCTGGGCTGTAGCCCGGATGCTTTAAACAAGCAGGCAGCTCAAAAAGACAGAAGATCTTCTGAAAAGGAGCTGTTCAAAAATACAGTAGAGAGCTGTCTTTACCAGATGTCAGATTTGAATCTCAACCAGGTTCATACCTTTTATTTCAGACATAAATCTTATATGATATTAAATGGAAAAATGGGCAATGAGGATAGTGCTTGGTTTTACAATGTTATTATTATTTTATTCTCTCAAATACAGATACATAATCAACCTGAGCAAGACGTATTGAATCCCCAGAGAGCCATACTGAACCTCCAGAAAGAGCTGCACGAGGTCCATGTGGGGCAGGACGTCCAGTCTGACCTGAGGTGAACACATAGATATTCTCCTCTTCTAGAAAAAAGTATCAAATCCTCCACCCACGGATCTTTCTCATTTTTAGGTTGAAGGATTCGAAGGAGCAAGTTAGTCAGATGGAAACGATGCTGTGCATGCTGGAGGAGCTGCAGAGCATCAAAAGGTGCACGGACCAAAAGCGCCAAGAGACGGAGAATGAGGCGTTAGCCCTTCACAGGAAAGTAGAAACACTGGAAGAGACTGTAAAGGGCATGTACAATGCACTGTGGGAGGGGCAACCTGGACAAAACTCTAATACTCAAGGTGTGAACAGAAAAACACACCAATCACTGATGAATATAAATGAGGATCTCAACATTGACGCGCAAAAGCTACAGGACAGGTTATTTTCAGTAAGTACTGGAAGCCAGCTGAATATCACAGAGCTCTGACAGACATTTTTATTTTTATTTTAAACTTTGATCTGTTTCCCACCAGTCAAAAGGATCCCTGGGAAGTGGGGAACACAATGGAATAAATAAGCAAGACAGGTATAGTTTTGATATTCGATGTGAAATGCTCCTGATTAGTAATCGCTCCATTTTTCTTGGCAATGACATGTCAAAAAGGGCAGAATGCCTCTCACAAGTGCTGGCTTTAAGTCGCTTGTTTGTGCCTCCACTGCTAATTCCTTGTAAGTGCCCATTATGGCGAGTAGTTAATGTTCCAAACACATGGCTGTTAACTTGCTCCACTTGCTTCAATGTACACGAACGTGCTTGAGTGTCTCAGAGCATAATGGTCAGCTCTAACTGCACTCCTTACCAGCCTGTTTTTTGCTGCCTCAGGATGGAAGATGTTATTGCAAGTCTTGGCCAGGAGGTGGCAGCATTGACCGACAACCTGAGCTCTTCCAAAGACATCAGTAGCAGCCTGTGTGTCAAGTTGCATCTGCTAAAGTAAAGTACTTGTGAATATTTGTGGTTTAATGACAGCTTTCAATGCATATTACTATAACCTATCATTTTATGTTGAGCTGTTATGAGTTGGAAAATATTAAAAATAATTGCCAACTAACATTTGTATCTCTAGAAAACTGTCAGAGAGACATACATCTCTGCACTGGTGTCAGATCAGGAAACTTGAGTCAGACCTCTCCAGCTACAAAGTTAAGGTAAATAATAGTATACGATCCAGTTATTAGCATTAGTGTTAGGATTAAAACACTATTATTATCAGGATAATGGTTAAACTCATTGTAAAGATCAGAAAAAACTAAGCTTTTTGTCGGTTAATCAGAGTCAGCATGTTGCCTTACATTTCCTGTTATATTAACTCCCTTTTGAAAACGGATGATTAAATCTGTTTTTTGTTCAATAAAAAAAGGCCTTCTTAAGCCTGAGAGCATTGTTTCATGTTTGGATGATTATTGGGATTTATTATGTTGTAGGTTTGTTGTGTCGAGCAGCAGCTCTGGGAGGCTCAGACTAAGCTTTCAAACATCCAGAGAGAAAAAGAGCAATCACTGCAAAGCACACAGGAGCTCCACTATCAGCTGGAACGACTCAAGGTACAGCTGTAACTCGAAAAGAGGTGACCACTGTCTCGGTCCTATTCACCCGAAGTCCCCTTTCTATGTGGTGTTGCTTCAGCAGATCAAATAGAGTAGTTGTGACAGCAGCCGATGGGTGATGCAACATGTGTAATGTGATGATGAAATATCTTCTTTACACATAACTGGGTGTTGTCAAAGAGGATTGACACGGGCAATAAGCCTCCCCATATCATATTTCTATCTACTATACTTATATGTGTGTGTGTGTGTGTGTGTGTATAAATATATACATATATATATAGGTGAAACTTGTAGAGCTAAAATAACACAGGAAGTTAATTCATTGTAGCATATTTTTAGGCTGCTGAAGCTTATCCAACATCCTGGAACATCAGCTGATCCCAGTGCTTGTTCACTGATCAGATGTTTTTCCATCTGTAAATTGCTTTGGTAAATCTCATATTGTTGGCTCTGTTTAAAGTGCCGTAACCTGCTCATTTTTCAGCCTCCTGTTTCTAACTGATGTCGCTCTTTTCTGAGACCTGCAGATCTGCCACATCCTTTTGCACATGAGAATTAGGTGGCCTGTGAACTCCTTTCTCGATTGACATCTCCCCTCTAATGACGCAAAAGAAAGCTTGAATTGGCAAATTATTCTATCTGACTTCAGTTATTGAGTTAGATTTTAAGAGGTTGATGCCCTCATTCCAAAGTCCAAAACGTATCTGTTTTTTCCATAGTTTTGTTAATCTACTTACAAAACCAATAACGCACCATTCCAAGTGTGAGCAGGGGTGACACACGATGAAGCGTGAAGCACTGACTCACGACACAGAGATTCCGTTTCTTATCGCAGCTTAAAGACTCGTATTTCTCTGTCCTGCTGTATACTTTTAGCCCGCTGTGTCTTCCTTTTTATAAAGAAGTGCGGTTTGCAGCAGCAGCTTAAGCTCCAGGAGGAGACAGATTTCCTGAAGGGACAGCTGGAGATGGCCAGGAATCAGCTCTGCCAAACTGTGGAGGAGAAAACCAACCTGCAGGCACTTCTGGAGCAGAGGGCCCAGGAGAAGAGGAAATCCCAGCAACTCCTGCGGGAGAAAGAGGAGGAACTTCACCTCAAACAGGGGGAAGCTCAGCAAGTAATGGGCAATTATGAATTAAACAATATTGTGTTGTCAAAAGAATCATTTTTCAGATTTTCACTGTTATGACCTGGTTTTACTCTCAGAATGGGACCAGATTGGAAGAGGCCCAAGGCCAGTGTCAGAGTCTGCAGGCTGAACAGGAAACGCTGAGGCAGAAGCTGAGTGAGAGGGAGAAGATGGTGGACGCTCTGAAGCTGCAGATGGAGAGCAGCATCCAGACCAGCGTGCAGCACAGCAACACCATCGACGGCCTCAAGCACGAAAACGGCCTCCTCATCAACCAGCTGAAGCAGCACAAGCTGGAAACCAAGCAGCTCAGGGTCAGCAGAAAAAACAAAACAGACAACTGTCTTGTTCGTTAGTCGTTTTACACCAATGCCGACTGAGCCGTCTTTCCCCGTTTTTCCCCCATCAGGCCGACTTAGCCCAACACAAGTCGGAACTGGCTGCTGCAGAGCACAAGAGGCAGCAGCTTCAGGCCTCTGTCACTGAGCAGAACCAGCGGGTCCAAGAGGAGACCTTGGAGAAACGGCAAGTCACCACCCTGCTGGAGCTGCAGCGCATGCAGTTGCTCACTCTGACCAGTGAGTTCAATATTTGATTCACGGTTTACAGTAACGGTACTATGCTGGTTTTGAGGCTTCTGATCACGAGGCCGCCGCAGTCAGACACCTCTGTTCTCATATTTCTTTCCGCTTTTCCTAGTAAGAGATCAATTGTCTTTTTATTTTTATTTTTTTTGTCTAATCAAATCATCCTCTGGTCCTGCTGTGTTATAAAAGCAAAGCGAACTGTCTTTGGTATGTTTTCACTGTCAACCAAGCCCTTCTATTGTTGCGTGTGTTTGCTTATGCGATGAAGAACTTTCTTTGGATGAAACATATGTGTGTTTGTGTGGGCACGCTTTCAGAGGAGCACAAGGAGTTGCAACTCCTCCACAGCTGCAAGAACGACGAGCACGAGGGCGTGGTGATGGAGCTCCAGAGTCAGCTGAGGAGCGCCCACGAAGAGCTCGATAAGATCAGGCACTCCCTGAGGAAATTCCAAGGAGCAGACAGACACGGTTTGATCGGCATTTCTAATTTGAACTGAGAACCCCCCCTAAAAAGCCTCCTGAATAAAGTAAATCCTGTCCAATGAGTGCACAGATGATATTCCATTACTTTTGTCTTAACGACCTATTTGTACATAAATAAAACTTTCCAAAAAGTTTGGCTAAATGTAATGAATATTTCATGTCCTCGTCGACTTCTCATCAGCACGAGAGGTAATCACGTGGTCTTTGCGGAGTCTGGAAACTACAGGAATATATCCTCAATTACCCTCTGGTGTTATCCGCTTCACGATTAATCAACTGGCAAGCACGATGTTGGAGAGCTGATGATTTGGGCTTATTTTAAAACCACAGGGCCGTGACACTATGGAGTCATCGAGTCCACCATGAACTCTTCTGTTCAAAGTGTTCTCTAGTCCAGTATGAGACCATCTTACCAACTAAAGCTTGTCCCAGATCTACAGCAGAATGACTGAAAAAGTTAAGAATCAATGTGGTCACTGGTCTTTCATTTAAGTACCTTAAGTCCTGATGACGTCAAACTTCAGAATTTACTTTTTTATCACGCAACTTAAGAACAATAATAACCAGTCGATTTGTCACCATCTCAGGCCTGAAGGTGGCCTCGGACATGCAGAAAGAGATCACTGCCAGAAGAGAAGAAGTTGACTCTCTGCAGAGCAAAATCCAACACCTGGAGGACAACATGGAAAAGCTGCTTCAGGTTAAAAACTCTCCCACATGCACTGTAGGCTTAGAAGTGTTACACATGCATTTTAATAAACATCCTTGCAGTATCCTCCTTGATTTAGCTATTTTTCTGGTCCAGGATAAATGCTTCCAGAACACAGAGGCCCAGCAGCAGTTTCAGGAGCTTATCGTCATCAAGGAGGAGAGGAGGCATCTAAAAGATGAGCTGACCATCCTCCGCTCCAAAGACCAGCAGTTGTGCGAGCGAATCAGCGAGCTGGAGGCAATCCTCCATAAGGTAATGTCTCACAGTGTATTTAACAGGGGTTGGTTTTAGGTTTTTTTTAAGTTTGCATTTATTTTAAAACGTTTTAATGTAATTTTAGAAGAGTACCAATTCTCCAACATGGTTCAATGTGTGGAAACAATACAGAGGAGTAAGAATTGTTGTGTTTCTTATATTTCCAAAGTTGACGGAGAGCTTTGCAAGCTGTCAGGATTTCATCCAGCTGAAGGAGCAGCAGTATTTTCGCCTGAAGATCCAACAAGCTCTGCACTTGAAGGTAGGGTACAAAACAGACAACAGAAGGACTTTCAAAGCAAAGCAGAGCATCCCAACAGTGAAACATGGCAATGGTAGAATCGTGCTGTGGGGATTCGGTTGTCTTTTGATATCACTTTTATCAGCAACGGGCTTCAATGAAAGTACTTTAACAAAGTTGCTTGACAAATCTGAATATTTATGTGAATATATTTCAGTTAAAATCACAAAACGCTGAGAAGTCTTTTTATCCTACTTGCGTAAGATTGTGTGGATGTATATTTTCATATTTAACCAGGGAGTATCCTTCTGTAGGAGCTCCCAGGTCAGACCTTGTGCACAGCTGCTACTGAGCCGCCACCTGTCCTGGACTCCCCGACCCCGTCTGCACACATCCTTCCGGCCTCTTCCCAGCACACCTCCAACATCAAGGTGCAGTCAGCAACTCCCAGCTTTCTCCTACGGCTCCATGTGTGAATAATTTTTATTTGGCTGCACATGTGCTCGGCCTTTAAATCAAAACACGCCCTGAATTACATCCCTGTGGCAAACAGAGAAATCAGAGTCTTATTGCACGACAGCTGTGAAATAATGTTTAGTTTATTTTGTCCTACAGTGTTGCACTACTGAGAAGGTTTCGAATGTCCGATAAGGGATGTTTCTGGAAATAACAAATCAGTTTTTTGGGAGACTGTTCCATACTCCCTGGTGTCTCCATTCCAATGTTCTAAGTCAGACCCGCTGCTCCCTCCGTTGACATTGCCTCTCTGCTCTCTCTGTTTGGCTGCTAATGTCAAAGAGGCAGCAGGACAGCTGCGCCGGCGAGCTCAGATCTCTCGTCAAAGAGCTCCGAGGAGTCATCTCACAGAACCACAGACCACACACTGATAAGAGCGGCACTGACAGCGGTTTCTGCAGGAGGAGGTCCGCTCCAGGGAGAGAGACCAGAGCAACAATGTGCGTCTGACTCCGCTCTCACACGTTACAAGCATTAGCCGCTTATGTACGGGGGCCTAGGTCACATTTTTAAACCATGTGAAACTACTGTATGACCAGCAAGTCACAGGAAAGGAGGGGCATGGATCAGTATGGTTGGATTTTAGCCATGACTCTATTACAATGTTAAAAGAGCAAAACGTCTGTCTAATTTTTGCCTTTTTAATATCTTTGCTCCCCTCCTCAGCCGCACAGACAGCCACGGTGAGGCAAAAGCCAACTCAAGGTTGAGGAGAAAGACCTGCGGCAGGTAGGGATCCAAACCCGACCAGAGGCTTCTTAGTAGTGAGGAACACGATCGTGTTCCGAGGTGGTCCGACAGTTTTCCCATGTGACCTCTCCCTCGTTCAACACATAACGTGCTGCTGAGCGCTTCAGGCTCCGTAAAGTGATGTAACCGGTGTCTGTTTTTACGCTGCCTACAGTGAGCCTCGTCTCCTGAGGACAGCTGAGCCCAACGGGACAACTATCAACAAGAGTGAGTTTCGTAATGGGTCTTTGAGCTCAAACCCAAATTCTTTATTGCTTTAGAGCTACAGTGGATTTTAAGGATAATGTTATGGCACAATCGGTGGAGAACACGTTTGATGTATGGCTTCAAATTTAGACAGTAAAGATGGGTCAGGTTCTTTGCTGTTATTTTGATGTGTAACAGGCACGCTGACCTTTTTTTTTAGGTCATTTTATGGCGAGCCCAGCGCCATACGCCAGCTTCTCCCCGCTCCGCTCAGAGGGACGCCGGTCTCCTGTTCACTCTCTCCTGACGTCTGATCCAAACAGCTAACACGCGGCACAACAGTCCCAAGGCTGGCTCCATGGATCAGTAAGTTGTCTGAACTGGAGATAAAACCTTACAAACACAGTGAAATAGGTTTTGTCTTCAAGTGAACAAAAAAAATTGCTCAAATCTAACACGGTCTATGCAAAGTTCACTGTATCTGGGAATCTTATTTCAGTTAACACAAGCCACCTGTGTACACACATTTATTTGATTAAAGTATATTGCAGGGTCAAAGGTCGTGTTATCCGTTTCAGAAGCTGAATAACGGAAAAGGGGAAAAAAACGTAAACTGGTTAATCACGACTGAGACAGACACAGATGTGATGGGGCAATCCAGTTTATCTGGAGAAGTCCAAGGGCTTCCACAAGGCCAAGGGCAGTCCACAGGAACCAGAATCCACAAGAAAGCCCAGCTCATGATACTTGATAGCTTGTTTTTGAAAAGCTCTTCAAGTCAGTCAGTATTTCTGCCAAAAAAAAGAGAATTTTGTGATAAATGTGTCTTATCATGTATTTGTCCATAATTTATTTTTAAATAAAAGTATTTAGATATGCTTTTGTTTTTTTGATTGGTTATTTAACATCGTACACAAACTACGTTCCTCAAAGCATAAGCTAATGTTCGCTTTGGCGTTTTTTTTTTATTTTTACCTCCACGGGATGCTTTTTTTTCCATCTTTATTCTCGGCCAGTAACCCTGCTGGCTGACACCAGCCAACTAAAGTGACACAAACAGAACAGAGGGTTTCCGTGCCTCCCTCTGCCTGCAAACCGTACTCTATGTTCCTCATTTCCTCTGCGCACACACCTTTGCACTATAGCTTCTTGTTTCCTCTCTGTAAAGCACAGCCATAGGCGGGACATACTGGATGGTTTTAAATAGCATTTCCTCAATTGAGTGCAATGTTTTTTTAAACAATACTCTCGCCCTTTGTTACCTACACTCTGGCGGTTTATAAAGAATGGCACCACTTAGCTTTGGTTGCTTCCAGCCTCATACATCAGCCTACAAACTAGCTCTTTGCTGTGTAAAACGTACAGGATGGGAAAAACGATTAGTGACAGGTAGGAGTTCTCCCAGTGGCCAAAACCAGGGCTTCCTTCTGTTTGCTCATTGTCTAAAATTTTGATTTCCAGAACATCAGGGGTGCACGTTCGTGACCTGTTACCTTTTTTGCACCTTCTCGGACACGAACGCCATTCAGACTTAAGCGCGTGTTCCAGGATTTCACTCTTGACCGAGGAAACTTTTCCTCACATGCGTGCGGAAAGTTGGCGACAGGAGGCCTTCTGGGACAACCCGAAGGTCTCCTCATCCTGCACGAGTCACGATTTGATGTCTTATTTTAACTGTATTTGTTTTTGAACGACAAACGGTAGCGCTAGCACGTCTTGAACTGGGTTTTCCTCACATGGAGAATCATTTCCTTTAAAGTCTAAAATGTACAAACAGTACAAACAACCTCAGATGAACAATAACACACGTTACAGTGTCATTATTTAACACAAAAAAACCTATTCAGAGGCAGAGAAGGAGATGGAATACGCCCTCCCTCCCCCCCGGATATTCCAAAGGTTGCTGTTCAGTCCAGGTTTAAAAGAGGACAGCCTTTCCATTTCACGTGACTGTTGCTATTTTGTTATTGGGAGAAGTTTTTTGTTAACTTCTTCCATTTGCCAAGTCAGATACAATTTGGCCATATAACTGGAGAAGAAAAGCTTTGTCCATGTGAATAGATTTCCACCTCCACTTTAGTCTGTCTGTCCTGAAGAGGTAGCTTTGGCCTTGTTATGATACACAGTAGCTTAAATTTGTACTTCTGTCATCTCTATAATGTAGCCCCAACAAACAGCTTTTGTATCTATATATATATATATATATAATGGGCTCCATTATATTGTATCTGCAGAGTTGCAGAAACAAATCCCTGATCTTATTGTGAAACTTCAAGGTGAAATATGTTAAAAAACATAACAATGACACAGTGAGCTGGAATAATGGACAACAATCTTTTCGGGGCGGTACAAGACAAATCAAATATCCTGCAGAGATCAAGCTTTTCCTCAGGAAGACTAAACGTCCCACATAGCAGCCAGCAGATAGTGACAATAAGGATTTGTGTTTGTGTTACATTGTGCCTCTCTGGCATTCCGCCTTGGGATCTTCTGCATCATCACCCGTACGACAAGAAGTCTGTGTTCCATTAAATGAATTGTGTGTCGACAATAACTACCATTCAACACCACATGCTGATCAGACTGCACAACACATGTTTGAGGGGTGTTTTCTACGTCCATTTTGCAGATTTGGCTAACATTTTGCTTTTTTGGGGGGGGATAAAAGTATTTTCCTACCACTGATCATTTTTGTTCCTTTCTTATTATTAAATTAAATTATGTTCAAAGCAAAAATGTATTTTATTATTTTATCCATTAACGCATTTTTTCAGTCTTCAGACTCACACCCTTGCAAAAGACCATCGCAGTTTTTGTTTTGTTTTTTCCACTTTTCTTTCCCTCTCAACAAAACAAAAGTGAACTTAATTACTGTTTGTTTGACTTCATGTCCTGTGGACTATAGAGGAAGCAGCTCAGATACCGTGTCAAATATGAGAATGTCCACATGGTTTTCCTCAACATGTCTGTCTGTCTTATCTCTTCCTGCCCCTCCATTTTCTTACTTCTAAGAATTTGAACATTCTGGTTGAGTTCAGGTCAGCAACAACAAGTGTAGCTGTAAGGCTCCATGTTGAATATGCTCCAAATGAGTACTGAACAACATCATGTCAGGAACTTTTAGCATTTTGTCCAATTTTATGTTTATAAATGTTTTTTCCAATTAAGTTATAGGTCCACAACGCAAATAACATTTTTGGTTTGAAACATCCCTGTGCAGCTATTATATGTGTATGTATATATGTAAAGTTGACAGAAAACAGAAAATTTAATTATTTTACCACAAACAAAAATCTAAAGAAGCTGTTTTAAAAGCAAATTTTTGAGTAATCCAGCATCTGAAGGAATTTTTTTGCCTTCTTTTAAGTTTAACTGGAAGGAAATGCACCACGAGGACTGGTTGTAGGAACAGGATGCTGGCTGGCCTCCTTTGGGGTGAGAGAAGAGGGATGAAATGAGAACACTGCAGCAGCAGAAGATCGAAAACTTGCTCTGATTGGCAGAAACCAAGCAAAGCAACACAGAGCATCCACACAGAGTATGTCCAGTGGTCACCCAGTAATTGAACTCAGGTGTAAACCTGCAGCAAGCCGAGAAACGGGCTGATGTGATAAAAAAAAAAAAAAAAAGAGAAACACACACATGAACAATCCAACCCTCAAAGAAAAAATAGGACAAAGAGTGACAAAAAACCACGAGAAAGAACAGAGAAATGGCAAAATCCCAGAAAATATGACAGATTTGGAGCTCAATTCAGCTGCTTTGTGTAGAATGGTATGATAAGCATCTTAAGGTGTACTCATTAGCATAGCTTACATGTAAATCCTGCAGAGACTGACAATACGTTGGAACTCCGAGATTAAGTGATCTATGCGGGGAATGCTCTTTGTTTCTGTTTCATCTCAGTTACCAGACGTTTACAACCTTGTCTCACTCTTGGTCAGCAGAGAGAAAGATATGCTGTGCGAGTCCCTCCCTCTTTTTGGTGGAAGAATAGGCTGTGGTGCCTGTCTAATTTTTCCATCTTTCTCTGTTCTGACTGAACATTTTATTCAAAAACAGTCCCAATTCAGGATTGTGACCGTCAACATTTTGTTCATTTTTGTAAAGGCGATGAGGAAAAATGTATTATTTTTTACACCTTTTTATGATAAATTCTAAAGTCAGCTGATGGGGGTTCCTGTGAAACAAAACATAGAATGAAAGCAAAGCATTCTGATCAATTAAACAAAAGCCTAATCCCATACAGTGATACATCCGTATGCAAATATATGTCAACAATTGAGGTCTGAGCAAGACGCTCATTTCAAGTTCAAATACTTTTGATCACTAGAGGGCTCTGTGTGTTTGACCATTTCTTACTCACGCCTGTGCACCCATGGCTTTTGAACCCATAATTTGTCATTTTCTTTACTGGAATGTCATTAAAAACGGGGATTTACTACTGAAATAGTCTGCTGATAAATATCTAGCTGTGGAACAGAGGTTTGAACTTGACTGAGAATACTAGCACTGCAAAGTAATTGTGCTCCACAACTACTTGAAATGTCTATGTTGGGTAAAACAGCCGAAGATTACCTCCATTTTTGCAGATGTATTCATTTAAATTAGTTATTTTGATTAGAATGTCTATTAGATTAAACTATCGCTGCCTAGAAAAGCAGTGAGACAAAAATAAAAAAAATTGGCAAAGTATCAAACACAGATATTAAGGAACAGAACCACTGAAAGTGATGCATCATCGTCTGCCAAACCTTTTTAAATGCCCCTTGAGTACTACAAATGTGTCTCCATTTTTAGAGTGTTTCTTGATTTTATCATTTTGATGTATCCCAGCTTTGCTAAAAATGGATGTTTACTCTACGCTCAGCCGGTGATTCCATAAAATGCGGGCAGCTGATGCAAGGAGATTCTGTAGAAATTCATTACAACTCCCGATGCATAGAAAAGTGTTTGTTGTCGACTGGCCGTGATCACATGGCGTTCCCTTCAGGGCTCATGAATTAGCCAATTAGCCTCAGTTCAGGTCCCCGGACTCTCCTGCTGTTCAAACACCGGGGAGAACACGGCTGGGACAGAGGGACTACTGTTTCCCCCGCCCGCCGCTGACGAGCCCTATTTAAAGCAACAAACTAACTTAGTAAACGGTCTCAATAGAGTCGGTGAACTGTTTAATCTGACGTTTTAGTTTGTTTGCCAGCTAAAACGAAGCCAGAAAATGAAGACATTCTGAGACACTTTTGGGAGCAGCACTGATTCCTCTTTATCAGCCGACCAGATTCGGCCGTCTGTGTCGCACCTGTTGCACGAGTTTGCGCTAAATTTAA